AGACTATTGGACGTGGAATCATCGTGGAAAATAATATTTTGCTGATATTAAATTTATTAGAAGGCAATAATATGCTCGTAATCCGCACTCCGTGGATCATATTTATTTATTGAGTCATCGTTAATATTTTGATTAATAGTTAATTATGTTACACGCGCAACTTTTTATAGCGATACCAAATTAAATCGTAAATCGCATCCACTGCCAACACTTTTATTTTCTTCGGCATGAAGTTAATAAACGTGTATATGAAAAAATATCGAATCAATTTATTTCAATCGCGATTGATTCATACAAAGTTTTATTTATTATTTTTAAATTTTAAATTAATACTCCCTAAACCGGTAGATAAAATATTTTTATTTTTATTTTCATGTAAATATTCATATTTTGTTAAAATATATCGTTCGGTATTAACGTTTTTCAACTGTATATTGCCATACACTGACAATGTATAAGAAATTCATGTAAAATAACACATTAATATTCATTAGAATTCATGTATGCAGTTGCGTGTACATTTCCAACTTGTATTGTTAAGCTGTGTACAGTTTTAGTCTTAGTTTTAGCAACGCTCAAATAATTAAATATCGATTACTAATACTATAATATTGGTTTTATAAAATACATAAGACTAGGGCTACATATGTCCTTTCCCGTTCTCTCCAAATGTATTTTATTTTAGATTAGAGTTGCTATACATAGCGATTACGAGATATCACGGTTCTGACAGCCGTGGAAACACTGTCTGGGTATTGTTTTTCCGTTTGAACGCCCAAGCAATTAAAGTACCAACCCTAAATTTCCTATTATTTTAAATGAGACCTAGATATATATAGGCAACGGAATATGCCACGTAATATCATGCTACAATAATTAAAATAATTTTAAAACTTTATACATATTGCTACATAATATTAGTATTATTAAATTGCTGTTATTTTTTTAGTATTTATATATTATATATCAGTTACCTATATTAAATAATTATATATGTAGATTATACTAAACAGTATTATTAAATTGTCAAACGGTCGACGAAAAATACAAGATTAAAGTTATATTTTTTCGTTACTGTTTTAAATTATATAATGAATTTTATAATTAAAAATAAATAAATTCAGATCATATTTGAGAGTTTTGAGAATTAGAACAAATAATTAATTTAACTAAAGTAGGAGGTGATCCAAAAAGTTACATTAAGCCTTCATCACCATTAGTTTTCATGCTTTTTACCGTTAATTATTATTTTGAAACTTTTATTTTAAAATGTCACAATATCTAATTAATTTGTTTTATAAGTTTAAAGTTGGAAAAATGTTTATATCATAAACAAATAGGTACTAAATATTGTTTTTATTTTGTTTTAAATTGTTGAATAGGTTGTGATTTTCAAATTAATAAAGTGAAAATTATTGCTTCTGACTGTATGAGTATTTCGTATAAGTCTATGGTAGTAAATTAATAACGTAACGTTCTTGTTTTAATTCTAACTATTTATTATTTTAACTACAAAGAATTCAAAATTCCCCGTGAAACGTTCAAACCTTTGTTGGTTCAAAATATCTTATTTATGATGAAATTAAATAACATACACATAAATAGATTCCATACAATATAATATGCATATTTAAAAGTTTTATTAAAAAAAAAACATTAAAAAATTAGTATGTAAGGGAAAAACATGTTCTAATCGGAGACAGTTGTTTATGTACTAATGTTATATTGAATAGATCGTATTTTGTGTAATAAAAATAATAATAGTTTTTGTGTACTGCCTTTCATCGGTATTTTCATATTGTAATTAAGGCAATATGAATAAACAATAAACATATATTAATTTTAAAAATTATTTTCAATTTGGCTAAATCTTCAAAGCATAAAAATATTTTTATAATTATAATTATTAGTGATCTTGAATTCACATCGAATTTAACAAGTGGAATCGTTCGGATACCTGTACATTACTTTTATTACGTGCAACAATATATTATTGTTATAAGCTGCCACATTTTCTGTAACAATATAAAAAATAAAAATAGAAACAAATTGTAAAAATATATTTATTTTTATGAAGTAGACTAATTTTATTTTTGTGATATTTCAAAAGGCATTCAAATAATATTGTTGGTACGTATTTACGGGCTAAATAAGATTATTGAAAATAAACTTTAAAAATCATTAATTATCCTTAATTACTAATATTAAAAGACTACTATAAATATGTAGATACCGAGGGTTATCAACTTGCTGCAAATGTAATTTTATCACATTGTTTCCATCATCCTCATAATAAATACAAAAACATTTTACCAGTATAAACAACGTCAATATATTTATTTTTTATTAGATATTTAAAACATGAAAAGGAAATTTTAATTATTAAATAATTTTTGTTTTTATCGCGTCTATAATACAGACTTTATATTAAACAACATTATTAAATTAGATTATTATTTATACAAAGAAATTTAAATTGTTTTATGATTAATACTCTTTCAATAATAATGATGAAAAATTAAATAGTATTACTGAAGACTTCAGTATTTCATGTAATTTGTAAAAAATAATAATACTCAATCATCCCCAGGCAAGAAATATTATTTTCATACCTTATATTTTATTTTTATTGATATTATTTGTAATATTTTATACATTGTATATTTAATAATGCTTTATGATTAATTTTAATTTAAAATGTTTATATTAAATATCTAAATAAAACGTAACAATGTAATTTGAACGTTGTACGCTCGACGTTTGCACAATGAAGAAATCGCAACATATTCCCACCTTTCCGGAGTTTTCTTGCTGGCCACCCTGTCGAAATAGTTAGTCACGAACAGCGCTTGTAAAATATCGTCGCATACGATAAAAAAATATTTTATTGACTTTGTATATACCTGATGATGAATTTCTAATACGAAACCGGTCGTACATTACAATTATAATAATACTCTAATTATTTATTTATTTATATCTGTATAAGAAACATTTATTTTTGCATTATTTATATTCACTAGCTTACACAAATGCGATCCAATTTTCGGAACCCGCACTTCACATCGCGTACTTATATATGTTCTTACACATAATGTACTAGAGCGTGATGCACACATGGTACCATATGGTTTGTCGTGAATAGTTTTGGGCGGACAAGGGGACCTATTGTTGTGTATACGGTGTATGACCGCGTGAAACTATCGTTTCGTGAATTTTTGGGTTGGTTTGTTATTATTTTTAATCGTTTTTTCTTGGTCCGTATACGCAGCGTATACTTTGCTTCGTTCCTTTTCTCTTTTTATTCTCCGTTTGTATAAAGATGCGAACGGCAAAAGCCGTAATGCAATTTTTACTGATAAAAATATAATTACAATTGTGCTGTCTTAACTACCGAACGCAGTCTGATTGGTAATCGTCGTCAAAATGTTTCAAACATTCCTCGTACGTTTTGTGCACTTAATTAATACATTGTATTGTGCATCGGTGTTACTTTTATCGTCCACAAATCCCTTGGCGGGGAAAAAATCAGAGCAGATGTTGTACGTATGCTCGTATGCTCATCACTGCAGTTGTCGTATCAGGTTATATCAGGTTATATTTGTTGTAAGCCCAACTATGATACATTTCGTTCGTCAGAAAATCTACGCTTCCACTCCCATAACGTACAATAACGTAAAAAATGTGTGTGTGTGTGTGTGTGTGTGTGTGTGTGTGAGCCAAACCCCCCAAAAAATGAATGCAGTGCCGACATTGAATGTATACACGTGACGTGTAATAAATCATCGTACTCAGTTGAATGTATCTCGGAATGAAATAGTATAGCAGCAAATCGTTCTCTAAATAATTTAGATTGGTAACATTCGACCCCCCCCCCCCACGAAGAACGTTAGTCGATCGTTTTAATATTGAATTTTTCAACAACTTGAAATATCCCACCAACAACGTGCGTACCATATTGTATGTGTACAGAAACATGTGTCCGTTTGTGTGCTCGCACACGTGTATAAAATACGTTATTTATACCTTATAAAATGTCTATATTTTTGATTTATTCAATACGTAAAATATAAATTATGTACATGCATATAATCATAATACACTCAGATAGTTGGACAATAGTAGTAAACTTATTATTTTAAGTCGATCCAATTCATGGATGAAGAAATTAGTGGCTTTTTCTTTTTACCTCATTTGTAATCTCTTAATATTATTGGTGTTTTATAATGTTCATTTGTTCGTTATAATTTTTCTGCGTAATATTCGTTCACCGTCGGTTACTATCTTTTGAAGATTCGTCGTTTTTCTGACACTTGTATCATACCAATTACACGCACACGCATCATTCGTATGTACATTTTATATATGTAATAAATAATTCCCAAATAAACGGAATGAGGTCAGCGAGGGTGTCGGTCGAGTGGTCGGCAATAGCTACATACACTATATATACTAAAGGATATATTTAATAGCTTCATTTAGTTTTAATAGTTATTGCTATACAAAATGTTTGCAAAATAAACTATTTCTTTTCTATTTTTTTTTGGTGGAATTAAATATTTATAAAAATCAACCAAATCCATTATTTGCTTTTTATTTTAGTACGACCTAGTTGGTGCCACGATAGGGGGGACCACGCATTACACCAGGCAAGTTTTCTGCCCTAGAAACGGTGCCCCCCCCCCACCAGATTAGGACGTCTACTTCGGCTATGACGTGGTGGTCGTATAGGACAAATGCCTTGATAGTTAAGCAGCCGCAAGTGGAGAGCGGTGTGGATCCCAACAGGATCCTTATGCCCGCGCCCTAGACCTGAGTTCGATGCAAGTGGTCCTTGCGACGACCCATATTCATTGTATTGACCTTCCGTGCGATCGCGTCCTTTTAATAATGCCAAGCGGTAAGTAATAATATGTGCACGACCGGAAAACTGGGAACTAGTATAACAGGCGCTTTACAATTAATTAATTTATAACATCATAAGCTTTACTTGTTTTTAGGAAAAATTTGAGATCCCAGTCCCCCAGAAAATATTTGAAAACACGCCACTGATTATATTCATGCAAGTTATTTCATCCCTTTATCGTTCCGAAAAACTCGTCTACGTGGACTATTCATTTGAACAACTGTTACCACGTATACCATCAAAGCGTAAACAATGTACATATTTTCATCCGTGACTAATCGGAATTTAAACGCCGTGAGTTCAAAAAACATTTATGGCGACGTGGAATTCCATGTAATTAATATATACTTAAAATATTTACTAATCGCCATTTAATCATGTTACATTCTTAAAATGTTTGTGTTGAATAGATCATGTGATTTCGTTTTTTTTCTCGTATCCTCCTCAATTTAATACAACGCACGGTGTTTAATATGCGTACCGGAAAAGAAAAAATATTTTTTGTTCATAACAGCAATTAATATATTTTTTCCATTCGCTTTCAAAACGGAAAACTTGTCAAAAACTTAATTTCTCAATAATATAATTATGTTTATATGTATATAATATTATATAATGCTATACATATTACCTTTAACGTTTGAAGTAAGTTTTTTAATGAAAATTTTATAACTTTTCTTAATTAAAAAAGTATAAGCTCAAAAATAATGTAAGATAAAGGTAAATTAAAAACAAACATTCGTTTATTTAGTGACATTTATTGGTTCGTAAAAACTAACGATACTACAAGTATAACATTTTATATTAAATGATATTATAATAATTCATATTAAATATTTCTTAGAACTATCGTTTAACATTATTTTTAATGATTAATATTCATTGCACTATTACTTAAATTTCATTAAATATAAAAATTGAAAATTCGTTTTATTTCCGTAATTTTTAATTAAAACATACTATGATCGGATTTGATTCTTCGGCGTAAAATTAATTTTAATTTAGTTATGTTTTTAATAAAACATTGAAAATAAAATACTAATGTACTCTTGTATTTAAATACAATAGATTTTAAACTGTTTAAAATTCATGGGACCTTGTTGAACAATTATTCCAGAATTTTATTACAATTGTATTGTTTTGAATTGTATTACAATTTTCTTGGAATACTTATTAACTATTTACACATATATTAATTAACTAAATCTGGCACACAGGTAAACATATATTTTGCTTCAGCTATTTCAACTGACGCTACTACATTTTTTTAGAGCAAAAAACTACAAACACTTGTATTTTATGAGATACAAACTGACTAAATTTTACTGGATTATGACAACTGTTTGCTTATTTTTATTTAACATAAATAATAACGTAATTAATCATAAGTAATACGACTTGATTCGTATATACAATAATTTTGGAAATTATTTTTAGATCACAAAATTCCGATAAAACAAACCAAATTATAATATTATAAACTATTGCCGTTGTTATTTTTTCGATGTTAAAATGCTAAAATTACATTTTATTTTCTTATTGAATAGTAAGTTTTTTAAGTTTATATTATAAATAAATTTCAATTATAGAATTTCTGTACAAAAATACTGGAATTGTAGACTGTTTAACGAAATCTTACACTTAAATATTTTCGATTTATTGAGAGGACCGAAGTACATCTGTTTTTTTTTTTATATTGCAGAGGTCTTCTCGGGAGACTAAGCATTTAATTCAATTTATAGAAGTTTTCGAACCATTGATATTCGATCTTTCGAGAGTCAACTGTATTTTAAATATTTACAAACATTGCACCAAAATAATGGATAATATGATTTATAACAGTGACTCTTAGCTGGTGGTCCGCGGTTCACTGGAGAATATTATTATGTTATACGAAAAAAATTACTTATAGAAATAATATTTTTTCTTTTATTTCCTAACCCAGTGATCCGTGGCTTCAAAGATTATTTCACCGGTTAACCGTGCCACAAAAGGTTGAGAATAGCTGATTTATTGTTATATTCAGCGTCAGCTTGCAACCGTTTTTCGAGCGTAAGGAATCATAACATCGTTCCATTCAAATATACTACAAGAATAATAATGCAACCACATTATTGACTTAGAACCGTTTTGAAAAGAATGCCGTACTCCATGACTTGTCAGTACTTACTTTTGTATCACAGTATTTATTATACCTATAGACGAGCGCAAACTCGTGTTTTAATGTGTGGATTTAATTTTTTTTTTTTTTGACTACCCACCCTCTTACAAACCTCCTCACCCTTAAATAAATTAAATAAAATTCACATACAAAACATAGGTAAATAAAAATAAAATAAATTATTAAAACTAATACACAGTACAGTTAGAACAAACATTATACGAATTAATATTACAATTGTCTTAAATATTAATCTTTATTCTTCTTCTATTTTAATTTTGAATTCTTCAATTACATCATCATAATTGATTGAATTAGATACATCTTGTTAAAAAAACCTGTCTAATAATGTATTCAGTCATTATTGATTCATCGTAGACCGTAACTTTATCTTCACTATATTCAATTTTGAAAAGGAACTTTTACAAGATTTTATATACCATTGTTAATTGAGTTAACATAGATTGGATAGGATGTTACTGTGCCCCTAAAGCACAATTTTTAATTTGGAGAAGACATTTTATATAAATTATTAACAGTTAACAGTAAGAGCTAAGAATCCTAGGATTTATACTTCATAGTCACTAGTCTAACGCAAAAAAAATTAAATTAAATAAACTTGAATCAATTAAGTTGGCATATGTAACTTTACTGTTTACAGGTTTACGATAATAATATTAAACTGTTAACAATTTATCAGTGAAAATATATAACTGATAATAAAATGTACACCACAAAGCTACAATTTACTGAGCTTACCATAGTTAATATATTTATTATCAATAATCGCTAACCATGACAATTTTTATGATAAAACTGATAAACTAATTTCTAATTTTCCAAAATAAATAAGTTATTGGCATTATATTTTTACCTAAATACCTACCTCAAAAAGGGTCTCAGATATGACTATAATCCTAAAAGTTACACTCATGTGCACGCCTATAATTATACTTTAATAGGTAGTATAATACAGGTCTTAAGAATATTTAACAGGTATGTATTTCATAAATAATAAATTTACTTTCTACCGATCGGAGTATCCATTCGAGTAAGTAAATTGAAAGTTCATTAGTAAATATACCCGTTTCAGTACTTTTAGGTACGTGGAAATTCTTATATTATTTATTCAAAATAAAAGGGCAGATAAAAACAGCGATACATTTTCAATCGTCTCCGTAGTACACATAAGTATACATTGAATAAATACTAACACTCTCCAAATTGGATTTAGGATTTCATAATTTTCATCATTCAATTAGGATCTAATTTTGTTATTTGTGTATACATAGTTTTTATAATAATTTACTAACAACTGTATTATGATATGTGTTTATATGGTATACAGTTTAAAAAAAACCGTTGAAACCAAAGCATGGAATAATAAAACCAACTAATTATCATATTAACTTATTTTCCATAGGAGAAAATAATTTATATAATGTAAAAACGTACCGGGTATAGAGGATTTTTATTTTATTTTTTCTGATTATTGTTTACTCGCTTATAAGTTTTATAAAAAAATTATGACTCTAAAATTAAAAACATAAAACTCGTATTTTTCGATTAATTACAGTAACCTACAAATTAGTGTAAGTACTAATAATTTTAATTTTATCGAAATTCTATATATTTTTTTCCTTTATTATAAAATCACTTTTCTTGTCTTCTGTAACCTTTAGAAAAGTGTTAAAATATGTTTTAAATTGTGAATGAGGGAGGTGTGAATATATACGCCAATTATTTTTGCACTTACTGCGTACAGTTCGACTATAAAGATAAAATTTATGAAAAATCATTATATTTTACCAATGTTTATTCATAAACTATTTTGATGCTTAAGTATAACTGGGGTTTTTTTTTAAAAATCACATGATTTTTTTTACTTTGGACACGTAGAGTTTAATAATAACTGTACAAATTAATAAATATTACAATACAATTATTTTATAAGTATCTTATTATTTTCGCACAACAATATAACATTTTGAAGAAAAAAAACTCCGTCGCAATGGAATTTAATTCCATGAACCGGTAGGAATTGAAAGAAGAATTATAATTTCAATACTTCCAATGCGGCTTATTAAGACTTCGGGGGTACAATAAGACACGTGTTCGCGGCTTACTTTTATTTTTATTTTTTCAAGCCAGTGGTGTATTCATTATTGCGACTTTTCTCGCGTGGGAAAACGTCTGTCACGCTCACAACTGTGGGGGAGCTCAAACTCGCTAGCTAGCCAATCTTATTACAACAACCTCATTACGTCTGAGTACGCAAAAGCGTAACTGCTGTTGTTATTGATTGACAGGCGTAACACGTTTCCACCAAAAGTGTACTTTTCTCTTTTCTATCAGTACCCGCTTCCACTGAATTAATTTCTTTATCACTTACATGTACATGAATTATTTTTTTATAAACATGAAAAATACACCATACATAAACTGAAATACTAGTACTATGATATCTAGTCAGTAGAATGTCTTTAATAAATCTAATTTAATCGTCATAAAAGTACATATAAGTACATGAATTTTATTTCTTTGTTTAAGTTTATGATTTATAAATATATAGATATATTATTTTATCTATATATGCTATATACATATGATAATGTTTCACCTCTTCTCGGTACTGATGGAGAGTCATTAAATTATTGCTATCGTATTTTATTTTCATGTTAAAACAAATCAACAAAATTAAACTCATTGCAGAGTTCAATATTTATTTATTTGTATGACATTTATTTGGGTTCCATATCAAGACTATATCAATACTTTGTAATGTTCTACGATCCGTATATTGTTTCATACATTTTTATTAAATAAAATAATGTACACTAAACACATTCTAAACCACAAATTATGTAAAATGATAATAACCTTAATATAAACTGACCACGAATGAGTTGTAAAACAATCTAATAATTATATGAAAATGCCACGTGAGAATAGCGAAAACGATAATAAGAAAAAAGTTGAAAAAAGAAAAAAAAACCATAATTATTTGAATGTGTCGATCAAGGACAAGGACAACTAATTGACGAAAAAAGATGAACCGACGACGACTCGATCAAACAGCATACATAAAGGTCCTTATCACACTATATGATTTG